CTAATATAAAAATACCTCGATTTCAACACACTAATATTTTTCTGGTGTATATATTGGTGTGTTTTCTTCGAAGCTTGACATTCATTTTCTTGGGGAAAAACATCATGTTTGAGGAAATTAAAAAATGACAATTTAATTATTCCAAGAAAATGGAGGTGACAATTGAAGAAACACACCAATATCCAACATTTTTTTTTTAGGGGGAGTGGAAACCTTCAGTAATTATTAGTCAACACGTAATAGACTAACTTAACCTATCCTATCTTAGGCCTAGTGCCATGTTTCCGAGCCGGACCCTGGTGAATGTATCTTATGGCTTACCTTATGCAGGTGCGTTAGGATGACGGTACAAATTGGCAGCATTAAACAGGAAGTGATGCAGGCACTGAGGCTTGGGAAACTCTCTGATAAATAATTATCTTACCAAGCACTTAGGGTAAGTGAGACTTCAGTCAAGATTCGTTTTAGGCCGAACATGGAACTTCATGTTTCTGTTTACAGTACAGTATACTGTAATTTATAGGGAGAAGGAGGGAAAAGAAATAGAAAACTTTATTCTATTACATTTCCCTTGTAATACTAGATTTTTTAGTATTTTGGCTAATATGACCCCCCCCCCAACCCAAAAAAATAAAAAATAAATAAATAAACAAATTACCAAAAATATTGGTTATTCAAAGTTGGCAGGGCTGTGAAGGAGAGGGAAAATGTGAGGCAAAAGTACAGGAGAAAACCGGAGGTCGGGAAACCTGTGATATTTGATAGGGTCACACTGGATTACACCCTTCTCACATGTGTCTGGGCCCGAACCCTTGACATATTGGTGAGAGATATGCACATTATTGCTGTAGTGTACTTTAAACTAAAGTGAATGTATGCGATACTTCAAAACATATTTTTATATTTGGTAAAATTATCGTTTCGGTTTTCCACCTAATTGGAAGTTGAAATTAATCTTTCAAAACACATCAAAAACCATCAGAAAAACGTAATTTCAACCACACCCAACCTAATCTAAACCTAACCTGCTGGATGACCAAAACAATAATACCTTATTTTCTTTTTAACTGGACATTTTGGAGGATTTTTTTTATAGGAATACAGTACAGTACTGTATAGCTTTTACAATGGGAATCTTTGTGAAAATGTGATCTGATATACTGTACCAAAAAAAAAAATCAAGAATAGAATCCTTTCATAACTCAGGAGTGCATATATTTACAGTACATCACTTATAAATTAACATTTATAAATGTGCAAAAAACATCAAACTTAAAGCATAATATTGTAATTAGGTCTTCCTTGCTTTCAGAGGCAGAGGCCCATAACTCAGCTTGAATTTCTTTGTCTTCTTCCTCTTTCTGCCTATATTACCCTGTAAGGAAAGGCACAGAATTTAGAGAGATGCACATATGCTCCTGTTTGCTAAATGAGTTGATGCACAATTTATCAAAACATTTACAGCCATTAAATTTCTTGTTCTGAGCAAAAAGTGAATGGGAGGGCACTCTTCATCATTGAAAATGTATATACAGTTGTCCCTTGGTTAACGAGCACAATCCGTTCTAGAAGGTTGCTCGTTAACCGAAACCATTGTTTCAAAGGGTTTTTGGGTAATTGGTTCCAGGTCACCGAAAATTGCCTAAATTCAACAAAAAATGTAGAAAAGTACACTTACTTTGAGGTGTGTATGTAGAAGGCTCCTGGATGATGATGATGATGATGATGGGAATTAGAATGGGGGTGGAGGAGAAGGGAGAAGAGAAGGCATTGGGGTGGAAGAGAAGTCACCCCATGTTGCCATTTCACCCATAAAATTTTGGTGTAATTCAAGATTATTTTCTTTAAATCAACACTGCACTGCATTATATATTGTGAATATGTAAAATAAATTTCAAAATGACCAATAATTTGCTTGCAAACACAGAAAAAAATATTTAGTTGAAGAGTCTCAAGCAAGATGTTACCTCCACTGAAAAGACACAAAGACTGACGCCTGTATGGTGTGTTGAGAGGCTGGATGGCGCGCATAAAACTAGTCACTTTACCTTCAATTGTGTTCAATAATTGTTAAAATGACTAAAAAATTTAATATTAAACTTTTAAAATTATTGAATTGTATAAACTTCTTGATATTTACTAAAATAGTAAGGAATTTAAGCCCTAGAACCGATTACTGTATTTGCGGACTAATACTACAGCTGGTTGACCGCCAAGTGCAAGAGAAAAAACTTGTTGTGGTCGGCTCGTAAGAAACTCGTTAACCGAGGGATTGCTCGTTAACCGAAGTTAAGAATCTTATGGGAGGTAACTCGTTAACCGAAATCTCGTTAACCGAGGGATCACTGTATTTTTATTAGGTTAAAAGTGTTCTTGAAATCTAGTTTGCCTAACACTTTATTCATCTGGATCATCAGCCTGTACCATTATACTGATGGATTAAGGCCTCTTGTGTGGTTCCAGTTATTTCTGCTCCGCCCACTGAGCACTTCCAAACTTCATGTCGCGATCACAGCAGCTCTTCAACCCTATACATTATTGAGAACATTTCCTATTGAATTTATGGTAAAATAAGGAAAGAGAAGTTTGGCTGAGCTTAAGATTTTTTTCATGTCATTATAAGATTGACAGCATAAACCAATTTTTTTTAAATATTTATTCAAGTACTGGTACCTGTAGTCTAAGTTTAGATTGTACTCTAGTATCTAATCTTGAGACAAGATAATTTAGACGCTAATCTGAAGTTCCTTCAAGGGCAATATATTGTGATAATTCTTTTAACAAGAAAAGTTACTACTGTATGTGAGCATAAATTTGGACAGACTTAAAGAAAACCAATTATCTGGAAATATAAATGTTCAGAAATTGGGGGTGCTGGAAAGGTACAATCGCTAATGGTATTTGGAAACATTACAGCGGTACATGTATTTAAAGTGCTGTTACCCGATACTAGAGAAAATCATACCTGGTACTTTTCTTATTTAAAAGTAAAAAAATTTAACCTATGATATTAGCTAAAAGGGTTATGACACAAGACCTGGAACAATTAAAAAAAAAAAAGCTAAACATCCCTCCCAGGCAGTAGCTAGCAGGCTTGTGGCTAACACAAATTGTTTTATACTCATAAATTGTGAAATGTCTGGGTAGTGATTAGAGGACTAGTATGCATGACAGAAACACGTTTGAGATGGTGTAAAGAGTTAAGTGGTGGTGGTAGCTTGAGATGCAGGGCTAGACTAAGACAGATTTGGGGCTCCATTGACCACTGGCCCCCTTCCCTGCTCGTTAACATCCTGTGGTAAATTCCATTGGTGGGCTAAGTGAAAGAACACTATACTGTACACTCTTGTAATATTTTATTAGGCTTCTTATAAATCACATTAATTGAACTGAATATCACATTTAAAATTTAAATAACTGTCTGACCATACTGCCATGGCTCCCCCTTCTTTGCCATTTATAGTTGCTACCAGAACTGTATTACAAAAAAAATCCATGGATGCAGTCATAGAAGCTAATTTACCTCCATTCTAAATGTTCTCAGGCTGTTTTTACCAATCACCTAAAGGTTTCGATCTCTCTGCCTTTCCCTGCCTATCCTATCCTGAACTTTGCCCATTAATATTGATGTGATTATCCCTAATTATGTGACCAAAGTAGAGGTAGACCACCTCATATCCGGCAATCAGTAATCCGGTTCCACCGCCGGTTCGGACATAATTTGGCCACCGTATTTTCAAATTTCGCGCCGGTCTCCTCGCCAACCCGCCGCTACTGTTTGGTGGCGCCACTAGCTGACTCGGCTGTTGGCACGGTGTTTGAGGAGCGGCAAGTTATTCCTCTGTGTTATTCTTCATTTATTATTATAAACTGCTCTTATTTAGCCCCAGTCATGTCTTCATTGAATAAAGGAAATGCTTCTCGTGGTGTAAAGTGCAAACACCATACGTTGTCTATACAAGATAAGGTTGAACTTCTCAAAAAACTCGACAGTGGTGTGTCCGTTGCAGCATATGCGACTTGTATACCATTGGCCTTCCACAGTGTATGACATAAAAAAACAGAAAGGAAAGCTGCTCTAGTTCTTTGCTGATAGTGAATCAAAGAAACAGATGTCCATAAGGAAAACATTGAAAGATGGAAGATGTTCACAGCTAGATAAAGTTCTGATAAAGTTGTTTAAACACCACGTTAGTGAAGGTGTGGAACTGTCCTTGGAGATGGTGAGGGAGCAAGCAAAATTATTTCATGCAGAATTAGGAATAGATTATGCGTGTGATTATACTGAACGGTGGCTTCAGCGGTTCAAGCAGCGACATGGGATAAAGTTTCGTGCAGTGTGTGGTGAAAAAAGGTCGGCGGACAAGGAAGCAGTTGTTGCGTTTGTAGACGAGTTCGCTTAGTTAGTTTCGGATGAAAATTTAAGTCCCGAACAGGTCTACAATGCAGACGAAACCGCCATATATTGGTGTTGTGCTCCCAGGCGAACACTGACGATACATAATTACCAAGAGGTTATAAAGCATCAAAAGATCGTGTCACTGTGTTGGGCTGCTCTAACACTGCAGGAACCCACAGGTGTAAGTTGTTAGTCATTAGCAAAAGTTTACGCCCCAGAGCCTTCAAAGGTATGAAACAGTTTCCAGTTATTTACTGTGCTAACAAAAAGGGATGGATAACAACTGACATTACATTGAATTGGTTCGAACATTACTTTGTTCCAGCAGCAAGAGCGCTCATTGTGACTGTTGGTTTGAAAAAAAACTAAGATAATGCTGATTTTAGAAAACTGCTCTGCACATCCAAAAGCAGAACTCTTGGCGAAGAATAATATTTATTGTATCTACCTGCCACCTAACTGTACATCATTAATTCAACCCCTGGACAATGGCATATTACGGCTACTGAGTGCATGTAACTCTGGCAAACCAGTAAATGAATTTATGAAAGAATGTTATATGAGAGATGTGATTTATGGAGTTGCAAATGCTTGGCAGTCAGTAGAATCATCAACATTGAAAAACGGATGGCATTTGTGGCCAGCTTTATTGTTCAGTTCTGCACCTGGTGAGGAAATTGGAAATGAATTTACGGGATTTAGGGTTTCAAGTCAAAATCAGATTGTACGTGAACTGCTTTCTTATGCTCAAGATCTCGGTAATCCTACTGCGAAGGAAGCTGCATCGAGGCTGGATGCAGATAACATTAACGAGTGGATGGGTGTTGATGATGATGAATCAACTGTTCATCATTATACTGACGTTGAAATTGTTCAGATGGTTGTAAATCCAAAGACAAACAGCAGTGGGGGAGAAAGTAATGATGAAAACTAGGAAGAGGTAGCTGAAAGAATGTCCATTGATAAGTTAGTTGAGCTGACAGGTGAATTGATAAAAGGTCTCGAACAACGCACCTTTGTTACTGAACAGGAAATAATGAATGTTTACATGTTACAAGAAAAACTAATCAAAGAAAGACCAAAATACATGAAACAGGTTAGCTTGCAGGATATGTTCAGAAAAATAGCAGAGAAATCTGTAAGACAGGAGTCAACACTTTTTAGATGAAACACAAGACAGTCTTGATGACCCCCTGCTTTCAGGCATGTAACTCTGCTTAGTTGTACAATCCAACTCTTTACTTTGGAAGTGGCAATAACCAACCTTCTGATGTAAGTAAATACAGATACCTTGTGTTAACGCTCATAGTATACTGCCAGATCTGGGGTCACTAAATCTAAGGGGATAATTTAACTCTAATCTTAATGTCTAAGGGTCGCTGCCACCAGACCCCCTCTGGACAGCATGTAGCTCGTTAGGTAGCGGGCAGAGTGGAGTAGGCATTGGGTTAGGTTTTCCATTGACCAGATCGATGAGGGTAAAGAAGGGGGAAACCATAACATGTCTTAATTGATTTATTCCTTATAAAACATACTGGTAAAAAAACATATACATGAATTGGCCTTCCTCAGAAGAACAACGGAATTTTGGTTACCCAGCTGGGCCCCAGACTCTTACATTACTGGTGGGTCATCCACCTACTTATTGCATAACAATCGGTGAACGCCGTATCTCGGTCGTTCCTTCTTACAATATCCCTTAACACATCAGACTGCTCCACTGGTGTGGATTTTAGCACCGTCGGTTATCATACATAGTAGCACCATCTCAACACACCTGTTACACTCCATACCTGCAAGTATGTGACTCCTTGTGACTTTTAGGTATACACAACGGGCACCTCGTTCGCACACCGCCCTCGGTGGGTAAAGACGAGGGCTTCACCTAGAGACATACCAGCACTATTTCTACGCCTGGTATTATAGGTCGCTCCAAGTGACGACCGCAGTTTCTCACGGTCTCCTTAGTTGTGACTATTCATGTGGAGTGGTGCGCTGGGAATCCACCGGTTCATAGTGGACTGGTATAGTGGGGAGTAATTCCCCACCTGGTGTGGCGCTCAAGGAGACAATGGCGGCCGGGCGGCAAGATACCCCGACCACGTGGCACCTGTGGTGACGGCAGAACGGGAAAGACTAAGAAATAATGCCTGACGGGCGGTTATCCCATCCCTTAACACATCCCTATCACACTTATATATCCGGCAAAGCTTTAAACTGTAGTAACTGCTATTTATCAACCTTAATTGTAGGGCGGGATATAGCCCGCTAGGACACTGACCTGTGGTGACGGCAGAACGGGAAAGACTAAGGCCTGCTTCCCGCCGCTTCTCGTCACATAGGCCTACAGTTTCCAATCCTCAATTTACACTTTTGTTTCTTATGGTTCTCACCTGAACACTTTACGGTATATTGTCACTCATTTCTTATAAACACATATATTAATCCTAAATTACACACTAAGGTCAGGTCTTGGTTTGCTAGTGCTTGGTTAAATGCCTGGGATTTTAATATCAACGGGCATCTGAGGCGGGTACATGACGCGCCTTGAAACAAAAGCCGAATGATCATGGCGGGGGTGTATCAACTTCACTTAAAACTGTAATGAGGGATCCTCCTCTCACACAGTGCACTATTTGAACACAGACATAAGATTCTCTGATCACTGTACCTGTCGTGGGTATATGTCACGTGAGGCTACGAGGTGTATTAAATTCATACCGACGCATACACGATATTTCCTTTTCAGTATAGTTTCTAGATCACTGTCAACACCTCACATAGTTCTGATACATTTATCCTTTTTCCAGATCATTGTTCTTATGTATTTTCATATGATATCTGTTGGAGTTAGGTTCGCTACACGCTCACAGACGTAAATAGTATGACCTTCAAACCCTGCTCCACACTTAGTCTTACAGTACCCTAGTCCGGCTCAACTGGACTTTAACATTCATCTTATGCCTACCCTGAGTAATCCTTAATGCTATGAATATATACACTTGATATGATATAACTATACCTGGGTACAATACCACACATGGTCTAGGAACCTTGAGTAGGTGAGTTGTCCTTTCTCAATGTTTCCCGTTTTCTGGGGTTCTACAAGCGCTGTGCATTTGAATGTTATGTAGCGTAATATGAATTAGATGGGATTTTTAGGGATGACAATGATGTGCGCAGTACATAGCCTTCCCCTCCCAAAGATTCATATTATGCGAAATAATATGCAAAGCACTAACGCTGTAGTGTACATACATTTTACAACATCCTAACAGTTCATGATTAGAGTACCTTAATCCAACACACAAAACATAAGGAGACTTAAACGTTTCCTACGAGCGTCTCCGCTACCATATACATCAGACAACCGTTTACAATCCTGCTAGTTCGGTATACAATATATCAGTAAAAAGAAAATTATAAGGAGACAAACTTTTCATACTCGAGTCTCCGTTACCTATACATACCACAACTTATCAATTCTTATTTCAGTACAATATAGTATAGGGAACATTCCCTTAACAGTTCATCAGCGTAATACCTCAACCTACTTTTGGCACCAGCACATAAACAGTGACTCTTTGACATTACATCTACAACAAAAGTTCTCTGCATGAAATTACATATCCTAAGGAATTTAAATTCTTGTCTATGAATGGGGAATTAGTTACATCAGACACTTCCTCAGATTACTACTTCCTTTCAATAATAATTCACCTTTTCAACACAAAACCATGGTTCTAGACATACACTTTGGGGCTCATAACACAAAACCCGTATTTTCTATCTCACAGTTCAAAAGAACTGGCATTTGAAAGTCGGGGTGACTCCCTCACCCGGAGCGAGTCAACAACCCAAACAAAACTTCCGACACACATAAACTGAGATTTTTTCTTTTCGACAACATAGGCAGCAACTGGACCTCCGGACTTCAGTTCCTAAGAACTGGGATTTATAATGTTGGGGTGACTTCAGTACGACTGACGAAGTCAACAACCCACAAACTTTTGACACACATAAACTGAGATTTTTTCTTTCAACAACATAGGCAGCAACTGGATTTCCGGACTTCAGTTCATAAGAACTGGGATTTATAATGTTGGGGTGACTTCAGTACGACTGACGAAGTCAACAACCCAAAAAAAACATTCTGACAATATAGAGACCACTACTAATAGTTGATCTTCAAAAAGCATCCCGACAAACCATCTGAGCAACTGTCTCCCCCGCCCAAAACTTTATAATTCAACAAATCAACCTAACAACTGGAAAGCCAATAATATTCAATTGAAGCAACATTCTGGAACTAGATTTCCTACAAATCCATTCTAACTACTGGTCTCCTCTGCCTCACAGGGAATCTACTTGCAGGTTGACCTTCCACATTTCCGTCATCACTTTCCTCATCTGTTTCGTCTGACCCCGAGTCCGAGGAAGAACCACAGGGTGGAAGTAAGGGTTCATTCAGCTGAACAAACATGTCTCTACTTACATACCTCTTTACTTTCTCAGCCGCTCTCTTTATCACCTCACTTTCATCCAAGGGGTTAGTCAACTCATATGCGGCACCATCTCGTATAATTTCTGTTATCGTGTACGGACCCTTCCACTTGGTATTCAACTTCCTGCTGGTCCCAGGGTTGGGCCATTCATTCCTCACCCATACTGTTTCTCCTAACTGCATAGTTTGGTTCGTTCTTGATCTATTTGCTCTCTCTCTGGTCTCTCGTGACATCCTGGCAGACACCTCTTTTATCAACCTATGGGCTTCTTTCAACTCTTGACTGCTCTCACTCTCTATTATAGGTAAGTCAATTCCTACTTGTCTTTGTACATGCCTTGAAAAGAAAGCAAAATGAGGCTGTACTCCAGTGGTGGCATGGACAGACGTGTTCAGAGCCGACTGCACGGGACTGAGAAATTTTGGCCACTGAAGTGGATTATCTTCACACATGATTGCAAGTGTTGTTTTAAAGGTCCTGTGCATTCTCTCTGTGACACTATTACCTCTAGGGTGGTAAGGCAATGTAAAATAGTTCTTAATGCCAGTTACGTTACATAGTTCTCTAAATTGTGTTGCTGTAAATTCCCCTCCATTATCTGCAATGACTACTCCAGGGCTACCAAAGACATGAATGAATTTACTAAATTCCCTGGTCACTTCCTGAGTGGATTTGGTTCTCAACGGGTAGAAATTGACAAACCTAGAATAGTGATCTATGACGGTCAACACATAGCGATACCCCTTCGCACTATTATGTAAGTCTGTCAAGTCCACAGATACTCTCTCCAAAGGTTTAGTTACTTCTGACATCCCCTGCCATTGCTGTTCTAACCCTTTCGACCCATTAGGTTTAGTTACTAACACGATAGGTGATAGCCAGACAGCGGTTGATGGTTCAATGATGTCCCTATCTCTCATGTCTCTCATCATTTCTTTAATAGTACCCTTGGCTTTCTCGGGGTACCTATACTGAGGTCCTCTTACAGGTTGTTCATTAACCAATGGGATGTTAGCTGGCAAACCCTTAATGGTGCCTATTTCATTTGGACCTAATACAAACAACGCATCATGGTTCATTACCACCTGTTGCAAGTGTGTCCGCATGTCCCTATCTAAGTGTGGCCATTGCTGGGTCCTAATTAACTCTTTCAATTTGTCCTGTCTAGTTTCCCCACGTGTCACTTCATCACAGTCTGGTACCATAGAATTTAGTACTTCCTGAGCTCGTCTAATTTTGTGGACTGGGGAATTTTCCATACCCCTACAAAGTAAGCATTGAGTTGGGAATTTCACATCATGAGTCAGTCTTAAGGGGATTTTGTTAGACCTCTTATCATCTTCTCTCTGTATGGCCAGGTGATGTGGTGAGCACAGGGGTATGTCTACAGACCGGCCTACCTCACCTAACTCTTCATAAATGTGTGAGCTAGTTCCGAGATTATTCCCTTCATCATCAAAGTAACAGAATTCCTCATCATTAACTACTTCATATTCACCT